TTTTCGCGCCTTACAAACACAAGTCGTCTTAGAGCCTACCAGTGTGCCGGTCCATACACGAACTGATGTGCATCCCACGCGCTATTTTACGCAACTAGCGTCATATAGTAGCCCCCACACATTTGGCCCAAGAAAAAAATTGCTCCGTCGCACAGGCAGTATTGGGCCTTAGGCGCACTCCGCTAGTGGGTCGTCCGAGGGTGCAATTTTTTTCTTGGCCCCATAAAAGAGAATATTTTGGTTTGGCTCAAATAAAAATATTGTGGGCACGTGAGCGTTGAAATAATCAAAGAGAAAAAACCCTAATAAAGAAGGGACATTGATGTCTGGTTATGCACTAAATATGTTAATAAAACAGGATTTATGAGCTGGAATTAGTAATCCATCCGATTATGCCATCGTAAGAGAGAATGGCGCATAGCTACCAAGTGAGGAGGTAGACAAAACCCCGAGACAGAGGCGGACCCAGAGGAAAAAGAGGCACGAGTTTGATGGTTGCCGCCACGCCGACTAACCCATCACTATCAAGATCTCACGGGACAAACATGACCCGCGAGAAGACCACAACTCCTTTCTTTGTCGCACCGCTATGGAGATCATTTTTATGGACATATCAATTATCTCTTCCATTGCTTCTCCCAAAGAAATATCTCTCCCGTTGCAACGCACGGGCATATGTTCTAATAGTCTCCTATATGGGCTGGCATAGGTAGATTTTTCCCCGCCGTCTCGAGATCCTTCTAGAAGGTTGGTTTTTCCAGGATAGTTTTTGTTTGTGTTTATTTTTTCTATGTTTTTCTGCTAGGTTTTGCTCCGTCTTGTTTGGTTTTTGTGTTTTTATTTTTATCACATTCATTTTTTAAAATCATGATATTTTAAATAATTATAAACTATTAAAATATGAACATTTTTTATTTTTTAAAATTTCTTTTTCTGCGAGAATTTTCTTTTAATCTAAGCTCGTTTATTCCTTATTTTTTAATTGTTTGGATTACTTACCGCATGTGTCACGTGGCCGTTTATCCCTTACTATTTTTTAGTGGAGTTTATCCCTTACTAGTAGTTGAGAAGCGAAAAAAATATGAAAGTGCTGCTTAAGAGGCTGGGTGAAACGGCTTTATGGAAAAGCCGCCCAACGAACTGGGCCTTAAACGCCGCCGAGTGGTACCCACGAACGCGCGCTCTCTGTTGAAAGCATTTAATGACCTACGTAGCCCAAAACGCAAAACGGCCCATGCGCGTTGAGCTTCTTCCTCCAGCCCCATTGATCCACGGCGCGACGCCCTAACCTACACCGCGCCCGCTCCCTCTCTCCCTCTCTCTGGCTCGCGGCTACCTGCTCGCGCGCGGCCGCCGTGATGGCCTCGTCGGCGACGAGGGAGGTGCTTATGCTGGAGGCGCCACCGTCCGAGGCTGCGGGTGTGCCTTGGCGCCCGCCTCCGGACGCTGAGACGGTGGACGCGCTGCCCTACATCGACGGGGACTACGGCGACCCGGCGGTGAAGCGCGAGGTTGACCGCCTCGTCGAGGAGGAGATGCGCCGCGCTCACCGCAAGCCCGCCGACTTCCTCCGTGACTTGCCCCCCGTTCCCATCATTGGATTCGAGGTGAGTTCTTGCGCCCTCTCTATTGTTTTTAGGACGCTGATCCAACGCTTAGCGATCTGAGGAGACAATTAGGGCCAAGCCGTCGAAGATTTATACTTGTATACTACTTAGAAGGGATGCACTGAGGTTTTATTTCTTTTTTATTTTAGCTTTTGGAGTTTCGACATAGTTAATGTTTAGGTTATTTACAAATTATTCCTGCATCATCACGACTTTAGCTGGGAAATACTCCCTCCGTTCCAAAATAGATGACCCAACTTTATACTAAGATTGTACTAAAGTTAATAGAAAGTTGAGTCATCTATTTTGAAACGGAGGGAGTAGCTCTTTCGAGGACTATATATGCAATTGGGAGCTGTAGGCTAAGAGGTTTCCATATGCAATTGGGAGCTGTAGGCTAAGATGTTACCATATGCAATTGGGAGTTGTAGGCTAGTACGTTGTCATATGCAAGTGGGAGCTGTAGGCTGATAGGTTGTCATATGGAATTGGGAGTTGTAGGTAGAACTCGTCTGAAATAAATTTTCCCTGTCGGATGCGTACTTGGGGAACAACATTGCAGAATACCACATTTAGTTACCCAGAAGAAAGGACTCAACTATGTTGGTTCAGTCTTATATGGTTGGTGTATACTTAAGGATATCTTACGTTCTCAATTTTTCATTCAACCAATCACTCTGTGCTATTGCTATAAACCTATATCAGACAATTTAGTTGAAAAGTACTTCACAAATTTGATTTCAAGAGCAAATTATCGCTGGATGTTTTCCCTATCAACAGTGAATAGCTGTTTTAATGGGATCAACGTTGAACCATTGAAGATGAAATATGCACCTTTTGCTGTTGAACATTAGAGAACAACACTATGAATGCTGCCTAGTTCTAATTGATTTGTGTACAAAATAAAGTAATTTTTCTGTATTGTTTGATGAAGACGCTGTTGAATTTTCGGACCCTACTGTTGGCTGTCACGTTGTTTAGCTAGTATGAAGTTCATTTCTTTCATATTGTAATGGCCGGAGAAAAGGCTGACCCTGCTTAAAATATTATTATTTTTCATAGTTGCACACGTCCACTAAGCTGAAAGCATGCACATATTGTCCTCGGTGTTATATAAACTAGTACTGTATATTGTATTGTATAAGCAGGTGCAACCATTACAAAATCTTGTACATTAGCTCATCCCTTCTGCTGTATGCATGAAGCTAAAATTACAAGTAATCTGCACCAAGATTAACACACTATTTAGATATTCAATTGTATGACTAGAGGTGGTAAATTTTAGTGCTTGGAGCATACACTGAGCAATTTATTACAGAAAAACCTCACACGTAGCTGAACGACAGCTAGATTGAAAAGACATTCTCACTTTGAATTGCAGAGTTCTTACTATCTAAAATAGACGTTGTATTAGCACCATGCACATAGAACATGGGGAGTTTGTACCATGTTTTAGAAAGTTTCTCCTCTTTCAGTCATGTGTCACACTCTCTAATGCCAGTGCCGGTAAGCAACTAAAACACAAATTTGGTGTTACTGTTGCCTAATGAACAGCTGGAAGTATTTGCAAACTAAAAACCAGCTAGGAACTACATCTATGTTGGACCTCATTGAGCAGTTATGATATGTTTGGATGTGTCTCTGAACAGAACTATTAGTGTGTGTAGTTAGGTTTTTTCTTCATTTGTTTGCAACACCTTATATATGTTAGCAGTTCAGTAAGCTGAGTAGTCAAGTGTTTCGTATACATACATGAACGGACATGCCCAACATAAATTGCACATCTGATGTTACTTAACACAAACAAGTGTTGATAAACTGTAAATTTGTTGCACAATAGATGCTTTTGCATGTACGTTTTAAATGGTCAGCGTTTTTCTTGTATGCATATATTGTAAAACATTAGACCTACTTCTTGCTTGTTTTGATCATTTGGATTTGTTGTTTGAATGTAAAACATGTCATGTTCTCATTTAGCATTTTTGTTTTAGAATCATCCTATGCTTGCGAAAGAGTACGAACGTGTTAGAGCTGGCAAGCCACCTGCTACCATAGAGATGTCCCGCTATGGTTTGGAGCCACCCCCAGCGAACAAGAGGAATGATGTTGTTGCTTGGAGGCAGGCTTTACGGAATGCCCAGAGCCAGCTGCAGCATCAAATTGTGCGGTAAGGCTGCTTATGCATATTTGCATTTGAGGAATCATGTGTTCTGAATCAACATTGCTATAATAGACATGCACATTGATAGCTCTGTGTGGCCACTATGGCAGTCTGTTTGTAACATTTTTAAGTTATGAATATGAATGTTATTATGAAGTTGTATTAAAGCAAAATAGCTCCCATAGGGATTTCTTTGGGTCTGTGGTCAGGACATTCATGAAACTTTTCCCATTCAAAATTGCATTGAGTAATAAGCTAAACCCACATGATACTGAACTACAAATGATTGCCATAGTTCAAGCAGTAGATTGCACTTTGCTGCACCAGATCATGACAACATCACATTGGCCAGTGTCTTGCTGTGGCATGTCCTGCTGTCTGTCTTTTTAGTAATTATACCAATGTTGTTCCATTCACCGTTATAGTCTGTAAGCTTTCAATACCGCGAAGAGTATAGGTTTCCAAATATTTATGATGAAATAAAAATCAAATTCAAAAGGACAGACTCTTTAACAAAGAGTTCCGCAGTCTGTTTGAAATGACAAGTAAATTGTTACGGTTATGCAAGAGCTGATTCTCTTATACGTACTATAGTAATCATCGTTAGAATGGGAGGTAGCGTATTGCTCGTAGTTGTAGACAATAATAACCACATTGTAGACAATGCATTCTCCGATTTTTCTTTATACATATGATCGGCATAGGCTTTGAATTTCTTAGCCTCAATTGTAGTATGCACTTTATTTAGGTGTTTTTGTGTTTCACCATATGCATATGGTTCTTATCATCTATGGTCTGCTATTATTGTCAAACATACTTCTATTGTTTTTTGAAATGAAGTTAGTGTTACAGGATTGAGAATCTGGAGCTTATGCTGAAGCACGGTGTTGAGGTTTGGAAGCTCCAGAACAGAAAGATGGAATCAGTTTTGTCTAGGTAATTTGTTCTGTCCATATGTCCTTGACAGTGCTGTATCACTTGCATCTTGTCCTGTTTTCCTTGCATTTCATTTGACACTGTTCGGTTTGTGGACTGTGTCATCAGTACTATCCTACATTGAAGGTGACGCAAAACCAATGTGTTTCTAGCTGTCTCACGTGTGTGATGAATCAGTGTTCATGTAGCTTAGGCATCCACTGGATTATGAAGCACTTAAATGTATTCATGTCATGCATATGCTTTATTATTGTGTATGTGTACATGGTCTCTAAAAAGTAGATATACTAGTTATAATGCTGGAAGTATGCGATAACATGGTACTTTGTAGGACACAAAAAATGACTCTGGAATACAATGAAAAGATAGAAACTGTCAACCGTGAGAGGAAATTTCATCAGGTAACATACTGGTCAACTCCCGTCCTTAATGTGAATCAGCATGACCATACTGTACAGGCAAGTGATATTCTGTTTTTGATCAGCAAAACACTGGTGGACAACTCCATGCCTTGACAGTAGAATGGCAGGAACTGTGTCAGAAAAACATGGCTATTCAAGCTGCCTGTGTTGATCTACAGAATCAAATTGATCTGCTTAAACTTGAAGCTAAAGAACAGTATGATCTCCCTCCCTTCCCCTCCCTCCCCATTCTCTCCCTCTCTTTATGAGTTGTGTGCCAAATTTCTTTACAGGGGAATGCCAATGGCTGGTAGCAATGAAACTAACCCACAAGCATCAGTAGGGATTTGAGGTACAATATGTTATTCTGTTCTTAAAGGTGCAGTATTTTTCAATTTGCCTTACAATTAAGTTCAGTTGCCATTGCACAGAATGCGTTCATTCTGTTGACAAGTTAGATGTTTCTGCAGATACAGATGGAGGAAGGCAGAAGCTGTGACTCCATGAGATGTCAGCTAGAGGTTCCAGTAGCCACTATGCTTACCTGACCCACACCTGGCTGTTCCGTTGACAACTACCATTGTGGAATGTGTGTTATGCAACGTGATGGCATGTGCTGGTGGACACCTGGTAGAGAAACAGCTTAAACGCATGTATTGTTCCGTGACAAGAGAAAGAGAATCAGAATGCCCATCTCTTTTGTTGATCACAAATGGGTGTCAACTTTTCGGGGTGTAAATTTGTACCGTAACATGGAAGTGTCAGCTGAATGTTTCGTCTATTTAGCTCTGCTTGTTTCAGAAAATGTCATGAACCTGCTGCATCTTGTTTCAAATAGCCTGTTCACTATGTCGCCTTCTAAGGCTTGATTGATTGCCTTACCTTGTTGCTGTTGGGTTCGTAGGCTGGTAACTGCTATACGCTTATCTTCGAAAACTTAGCATGGGACGCCTTGGAGTAGATGATACCCTGTGTATTGTTGAGGGAATTCATAGTAATATGCAGGATAAACATTTAATAATAGTAGTTAGAATCATAATCTGGTACTTGTATGATATAATGTGAAAAACTGTAGTTACATATAAAGTTTATTATGTTTTGCATGAATAGTTTATAGTTCAACTGTAAAAACAAGTAGTAACATGCAAGAGAACTATGCATTATTTTTGTGGTTTGTGCCTTCTTTTTCCAGTAAAATGACCGGAGATGTGTTCCGTTTCTTGTGCAATAATCAACTGGATGGGCATGTGTTTGTGGTTGTTTCATAGTATTCTCAGCATTCCAATTTCACTTGTGAACAACCATTAGTAGAGACGTATCAGGTCAGGTGCCTACTACTTATTGACATTGGCGGATAATAAGATACAAATTTGACAAACATTTCAGTTTCCTATTGTGATTGCCTTGTTCATTCCCGTGCTAGCAACCAGTAGCAATAGCTAGCTTGAGAAAAATATTTGTAAGTACATTCCTATTGAAATTATTGTTAGATGGATGAGACATTTCTTCAGTGTTGCAATCAGGCAGGCAGGCCTGAATAAAATGGTGTTAAACAAATTTGTACTGTATATAACAGAATAGGCAAGTTGCTATATTATCAAAACATAAAGCATGGAGGATGGTAGTATGAGCAACATATCAATGTTTAAGTAAGATGCATACATATGGAATAAATAAATGAAGTAAAGAAAACAAATTCACATATCAAAAAGGCATATGCCCTTTACATAGATTGACATGGAATTATAGCTGGCCAAATGGGCCGTTCTTTTCGGGCCGGCCCGTGAGCACGCGCGGCACGGCCCGCCTTGGGCCAGGCACGGCACGGTCTAAACGGGCCGGGCCTGGCACGCGGCACGCCCTGGGCCGTGCCTGGGCCTGGAGGCTGGGCACGCGGGCCGGCACGGCACGGCCCGATTACGTTTTTTTTATTTTTTTATACATCTATATATGGCCCAGTATATAAAAATAGGCTAAAAAACGCTCAATGCGGCAAATAACAGGCTGAAAATATGCGGCCCACCGTGCTAAACGGGCCAACGTGCCGGCCCGTTTACTAACTGGGCCGTGCCTGGGCCTGGGGGCGCAGCACGCGGGCCGGCACGGCACGGCCCGTATAGTAATCGTGCCCTGGCGGGCCGTGCCGGGCCAGGCACGATTACGATGGGCCGGGCCGTGCCGTGCCGGGCCGGCCCGTTTGGCCAGGTATACATGGAATCATTGATGGATATAAGATACAAGGACGCCACTACATAGGGGCGTCGCATGGATCGTGGGCGGATCCTTGTAGGGACTAAACCGGGCCATAGCCCGTCATATTCTTTGGATTTTCTTTGGTGTCTGGATTTGGCCCAATAATAGAAGTTGGCCCAGTGAGAATGTTCTTGGCCCGTTTTTCAATTTGTTCCACTCTCCGCCACAGGCATGGATGCCTTCCCATGCGGAAGCTCCCTCCTCTCACTCATTTGCATCCAACAATGACACATAGGAGCAACTCTAATAGAACATGCAAAATATAGATCGCCAAAATCATTATGGAGGCGGTCGCTAAAAATCATGGAGGCTCTAGAGCTCCAGAGCCGGGTTGGGAGGCGGTGCGGGAGGAGGAAGATGAACATTGAAAATGTGATCCTGACCGTTGGATGGAGATCTGACGGCCCAAAAAAAGTGATCTACGCAGTGAAAAAACCAATCAACTTACAATCAGTCCCAACTCTTTCTTTTTTCTAATTCCCCATACAATATGCGGAAACGCTTCTTCGTGAGCGAGTGTTGCAATGAGCGACCCCGTTGTGACGCCCCCGATTTGACCGTACACTATCATACACGCAAATGTGTACGATCAAAGATTAAGGACTCACGGGAAGATATCACAACACAACTCTAGACACAAATTAAAATAATACAAGCTTTATATTACAAGCTAGGGGCCTCGAGGGCTCGAATACATAATCTCGAATACACAAGAGTCAGCGGAAGCAATAATATCTGAGTACACACATAAGTTAAACAAGTTTGCCTTAAAAAGGCTAGCACAAACTGGGATACAGATTGAAAGAGGCGCAGGCCTCCTGCTTGGGATCCTCCTAAACTACTCCCGGTCGTCGTCAGCGGCCTGCACGTAGTAGTAGGCACCCCAATGTAGTAGGAGTCGTCGTCGACGGTGGCGTCTGGCTCCTGGACTCCAACGTCTGGTCGCAACAACCGGGTATAGAAAGGGGAAAAGGGGGAGCAAAGCAACCGTGAGTACTCATCCAAAGTACTCGCAAGCAAGGAGCTACACTACATATGCATTGGTATCAATGAAAGGGGTAGTTTATGTGGACTGAACTGCAGAATGCCAGAATAAGAGGGGGATAGCTAGTCCTATCGAAGACTTCGCTTCTGGTAGCCTCTATCTTGAAGCAGTAGAAGAGAGTAGATGATAAGTTAATCAAGTATCATCGAATAGCATAATCCTACCCGGCGATCCTTCCCTTGTCGCCCTGGGAGAGCGATCACCGGGTTGTATCTATCACTTGGAAGGGTGTATTTTATTAAGTATTCGGTTCTAGTTGTCATAATGTCAAGGTACAACTCCGGGTCGTCCTTTTACCGAGGGACACGGCTATTAGAATAGATAAACTTTCCTGTAAGGGTGCACCACATTTCCCAACACGCTCGATCCCCTATGGTCGGACACACTTTCCTGGGTCATGCCCGGCCTCGGAAGATCAACACGTCGCAGCCCTACCTAGGCACAACAGAGAGGTCAGCACACCGGTCTAAATCCTATGGCGCAGGGGTCTGGGCCCATCGCCCGTTGCACACCTGCACGTTGCGAACGTGGCCGGAAGCAGACCTAGCCTCCCTAATACAAGAGCAGGCGTTCCAGTCCAATCCGACGCGCGCCACTCAGTCGCTGACATCAAGAAGGCTTCGGCTGATACCACGACGTCGAGTGCCCATAACTATTCCCGCGTAGTTGGTTAGTGTGTATAGACCAGTGGCTAGACTCAGATCAAATACCAAGATCTCGTTAAGTGTGTTAATTGATATAACCGCGGACGCTGATCAGGGCCAGGCCCACCTCTCTCCTACGTGGTCTCAACCTGCCCTGTCGTTCCGCCACAAAGTAACAGTTGGGGGCCATCGGGAACTCAGGCCCACCACTACCTGGATGGAGCCACCTGTCCTTTCAGCCCCCACGCCGGAATCACTTGTGGGTACTTTACGAGCCGACCCAACTTTAGTCACCACATGTATCACATATCATGTATATAAGTATATACCCGCGATCACCTCCCAAATGATCACGACCCAATAGTATAGCATGGAAGACGGACAAGAATGTAGGGCCACTAATGAAATACTAGCATCCTATACTAAGCATTTAGGATTGCAGGTAAAGGTAACAATAGTAGTAGCAAGGACAGGCTATGCATCAGAATAGGATTAACGGAAAGCAGTAACATGCTACACTACTCTAATGCAAGCAGTAGAGAGAAGAATAGGCGATATTGCTACCTCTTGAGCACTGTGTTGGTTTTTCCTTGAAGAGGAAAGGATGATGCAGTAAAGTAGCGTAAGTATTTCCCTCAGTTTTTGAGAACCAATGTACCAATCCAGTAGGAGACCAAGTGCGAGTCACCTCGTACCTACACAAACAAATAAGAACCTCGCAACCAACGCGATAAAGGGGTTGTCAATCCCTTCACGGCCACTTGCAAGAGTGAGATCTGATAGAGATGATAATAATAAGATAAATATTTTTGGTATTTTTATGATATAGATTGAAAATAAAGATTGCAAAATAAAATAGATTCGAAACTTATATGATGGAGAATAGACCCGGGGGCCATAGTTTTCACTAGTGGCTTCTCTCAAGATAGCATAAGTATTACGGTGGGTGAACAAATTACTGTCGAGCAATTAATAGAAAAGCGAATAATTATGAGAGTATCTAGGTATGATCATGTATATAGGCATCACGTCTGTGACAAGTAGACCGACTCCTGCCTGCATCTACTACTATTACTCCACACATCGACCACTATCCAGCATGCATCTAGAGTATTAAGTTCATACGAACGGAGTAACGCCTTAAGCAAGATGACATGATGTAAAGGGATAAACTCATGCAATATGATATAAAACCCCATCTTTTTATCCTCGATGGCAACAATACAATACGTGTCGTTTCCCTTTCTGTCACTGGGATCGAGCACCGCAAGATTGAACCCAAAGCTAAGCACTTCTCCCATGGCAAGAAAGATCAATCTAGTAGGCCAAACCAAACTGATAATTCAAAGAGACTTGCAAAGATAAACCAATCATACATAAAAGAATTCAGAGAAGATTCAAATATTGTT